GCGGATGTGGGGGCGGGCCACTCCGCAATAGCAGTGATCTTCGCGTCGTCCATGTGGAGACCCTGGTCAGACACGTAGTGTCCTAAGAAATTCACTTTGTGCTGGGCAAAACGACACTTGTTCAACTTGGCGTAGAAGCCATGTCTGCGCAAGCGGTCAAGGACGTCGCGAAGGTGTCTGAGGTGCTCCTCAAGGGTACGACTGTAGACCGGGATATCATCGAGATAGACGAGAACATACTGCTCCAGGATGTCCTTGAAGATGTCGCTCATCGCCCTCTGAAAGGTAGCGGGTGCATTGGTGAGGCCGAATGGCATCACCATGAACTCGTAGTGGCCGAATTGCGATCGGAACGCGGTCTTCAGCTGGTCGGCTGCAGCGACGAGGATCTGATGGTAACCGCTACGAAGATCAATCTTTGTAAAGAAGCGGTTGCCTGCTAGGCGGTCGAATAACTCATCGGAATGAGGCATGGGGTAGATGTTCTTAACCGTATAGCGGTTGAGACCCCGATAGTTGATGCAGAGACGGAGAGTTCCATCCGCTTTGCGAGCAAAGAGGACGGGTGCACCCCGCGGGGAGTTGCTTGGTATAATGAAACCCTGTCTCAGAAGCTCCTCGAGCTGACGCTTGAGTTCGGTGGCCTCAGGGATCGAGAGTCTGTAGGGTGCCTGGTGGTGAACACGATAGTCAGGCACAAGCTGAATAGAGTGCTCGACGTCATGCATCAGGGGGATGCCGGCGTACGAGAACGACGATGGGAAAACGTCGTGGTACTCTCGGATGAGGTYACGAACTGCGGGCTCCAAGTCATCCGTATATCGTGTGAGTTCCTCAGCGTCAGCGCGCGACAGCGGGGTGGACTCGACGGACGGCGGAGGGACGGAAGTAGAGATGGGAGCCATGGAGATAGAGGGAGGATCTGGCTCCAGAGGGATGAGCTCGACATCGGGACAGGGTGGATCATAGTGTAAGAGATCCGTCACGTCCACCATAAAGAAGGTGACGTCGTCCTGTCGAATGAAGTGAGCGAACTGCCGAGGCGAGGTGACAGTGATAGAGGGAGATGGTGTGGGCACTGAAGGCTCCGGGGGAGGAGGATCGGGGCGTGGTGTCGCCGTGGTAGCAATGAAAGGTACGCGATACATCTGTCCTCACTTCGTTTTGAAAACGAGAGTGTTGGTCGCCCAATCGGCCTCAGTGCTGCGGAACCGACGAGACCACGGAGTGCCGAGAATGAAGTCGTACCCCGTCTCCATCACATCGAAATGTGCAGAGGAGCGGTGGCGACGAGACGCCGGGGAACGATCAGTCGGCTCGAGAGTGATGAAGAAGGGGAGGTCGGTGACCGTATGATCGAGGAAGCGCTAGGTCTTGTCATCCCCTAGGGTAACGGAGATGGGAGTCGGAGACCATGTCGTGGGTACGCGGGCTTCCTTCACCACGCGTGGGTGAATGAAGTTGCCCTGAGAACCGGAATCCCACAGTGTCGAGTACACCCTCGTGGAGGTCCCGAGTCGTACTGGGATGATCGGGAGGGTACGATCAGGGTCAGAGAGGATGGCGAGAAGGCGACGCAGTGCAGCGACATGGAGGGTGAGTCGCTCCTGACGATCCTAGAGCATGCTCAAGTCCAGAAGAGAGGACACAACGTCCTCGCGAGTAGCAAGCTGCTCGCTGCAATGGGCTGAGAGAATGGTTCGACGCGTCGGTAATCGCGGCAGGGAAGGAGGGGAGACGGTGGTCTGCGGAGGCGCAAACGGTACTGCGACAGAGGTCTGAGTACACTCTGTCGAGTCCTGCGGTACCTCAACTCCAGTAGCGAGAGGGGCGAACCGCGACTGAGATGTCGGGAAGCCCACTACTGAGGAGGGCGCAGGTGTACACTGCACCGTGGCTAGGAGGCGCCGCGGGGACGTGAGGCGCCGGGGGGGGACTGAGCACGACGCTGACGAGAAAGGTCAGCSTAGTGGCGGTCGAGGGCGGTAGTGTAAGGGCACCGCGAGGAGTTATGACCATCCAAGCGGCAGTGCAAACACCCACGTCGGCCCAAAATAGCCGCGCGCTCCTCAGCGGAAAGGACACTGCGAGGAGGGACGAAGCCCTGAGGGAGGTCCTCCTGAGGGACCCCGGGGGGCGACGCGCCAGCGTGACCGAGGCGGCTGCGTGCCCGAGAGAGGGTGGAGAGCGCGAGCTGAAGGCGCTCAGCTGCAGGGAGGGTAGAGTCCTCCAAGTGATAGTGGAGGGCCTCACAGAGATCGAGGTCGTCGCTGTGGTCGCCCTTAGGTGACAGTAGGGCAACAGCGTCCTGCTCACCATACTCCAGCGCACTGAAGCGGCGCGAGAAGTGGCGGCCCTGCTGCGTGGAACGGCGGGGGCGACCGAGGAAAGGGGAACGGCGCTGGGAAGTGTCGTCAGAGGAGGAGGAGGCGTAGCCCGTGCGCTGGGGCTGGGAGGAGGAGGCGGGGTGAAGACGGGCTCGCATCCGCTGGTGGTCCCTGGCGGCCTCGTAAGCCTGTGGGGCCGATGTAAACTCGTACCGCCATAGCTCAGAGCGGTACTCGAGCGGCAGGCTGGCCAAGAAACGATCGATAAGGGCAACCTCGGGGAGGAACGCCACGTCGCAAACGATGCGGGCATTCTGAAAGACCTGGATGTGGCGATCCCGGCCGGCAGCGCCACCAGAGCCGGACCAGCGTGCAGTGACGACACGCTCGAAGGCGTTAGTCACGTCGTATCGGGCTCCGAAGCGATCCTCGAGGAACGCCTGGAAATCCACGAAGGTCGGAGTCCGACCCTCACGAAGGGAGTAGGCATAGAAATTCTCCCAGGCCTCGAAAGGACCGCCACGCAGGCGCGTGGAGAGGTGACCCACCCACGTCTCGGGTGTGGCGCCCATGAGCTGGAGTGTGCGAGTGTCAGACTGTAGCCACCGAGACACGCGTATGCCTGTACCGTCATACAAGGCAATGTCCGACAAGTGGATGAGTGGTGCGCCACCGTTTTGGAGGCGAGGGGATCGAGGAGCGGAGGCCTGTGCCACGACTGAGTAAGTCGGCGCAGGTCCTGGAGAAAGGGGCGCAGCTGACTGTGCGCCCGGGCCGCATGGGGGAGCGGCGGTGGCATCAGCGGCAGGCTGCGAGGGTGCTGTGGTAGAAGAGGTCGCAACAACCGCGGGAGTAGGAAGAAGGAAGGAAGGATTTGTATAGGGTGCAGGGCGCGGAAAGCGAGCCTGCATGGGAAGAAGGGTAGAAGAGGTAGGGGGTGCGCCCGAAGGCGCGGCCACCTGTGAGGGTGGGGGTGGCTGGAGGCGTAAGAGGGCGAGGTCGGCCCGGAGCTGGGCAATCTCGTCCGCGAGACCTCGAACGTAGGTCGATCGAGGGGTGGCAGGAGGAAGAGTGGAGGGGGTGGACGCACAAGCGGCGCGGGGCATCCCAGAGGGGAGAGAGCCAGGTGGCGCTGCGGTCGTGTGAAGGGGAGGGAGAAGCGGGGCACCCGGAAAAGCTGAGACCATGGTAGCGGTTTGTTGTACCGTGGCCGTAGTGACCGGGATCTGGGCGGGTGCGCCCGTAGACTGAGGGGGGGCCTGGCTCGTGGCGGCCGTCGTGCTAGGGGCGTGGACAGTCACCAAGATGGCCGGGTCAGGGGCAACGGAGGAGGAAGTTCCGCCGTGGCCACCCTGTCGGAGGACGAGGGACCCGGACTGAGAGCCAGGAGATGACGGACTCGCAGCGTCCTGGAGTTGCTGCATGCCGGCGGCAAGGGTCGCCACCTGCACCTGTAACGGCGCGAGGGTCGCGAGTTGCGCCTGGATGGGCGTAAGGAGGGAGGTGAGGAGGGTGTGTAGATCCCCCTGGGGCTGATGGCCCTGGTCCGCCGGCACGGGTGTGGAGTCTGATGTCATGGTCATTGCCGTGTCGGCGGCGTGTGACGCACAGTCGGTCATGGGGAGATGACGGACCGGACTGGAGGGGGGCAGAAGAGGTCCGCGTGAGCGGAGGGCGTAAGGGGAAGTCCGAGGTAGAAAGCCGCGAACGGTGCTAGCAAGGCTAGCACGGGCGCCGTCAAAGGGGGAGGGGTGGTTCGGGTCCAGGGTGTCCGAAGAGGACCGGGAAGTAGGGGGGGGTTGAGGAACCCTAAACCCTACAAAAACCCTAAGAAAACCCTAACCGAGGTTTAAGTGGCTAGGGTAGGGTACCGGTGATCTAATCAAGAAACTAAAATAGCAAGCATAGGGGGGGGGGGAGACGGGAGAAAAATAAATAAACAGTGAAATTTCGAGAAAAAAATAAAAATAAATAAGGAAATAAATAAATAATAAAAATAATAAAATAAATAAATAAAAAGGTGTGAAGGGAAAAACAATATTTTTTATTTATTTATTTATTTATTTTTTGAAAATTTTCGGCAGCACTTCCCTACCCCCCACGGGATCAAGAATGTGCCAAGGGGGAAGGAGAGACCAAGATGAGCACACTAAGTCTCAAGATGCCGCAAATAAAAAGAAATTTCAGAAAATAAATAAAGAAATAGTAAATAAAGAAATAAAAAAATAATTAGAGAAGCAAAAAAGTGGATGAGGAGGTGGGGAGGAATGAAGTATCTAATTTGTCAAAAATTTTGGCAGCATTTCGTTACCCCCCATGGGATCGAAGTGTGCCGAGAAGACTAAATAAGGGAAAATCAAAAAATTTCGGCAACACTTCGTTATCCCCACGGGGTCAAAACGTGTGCCGAAAGCAAGAAAGACTAACACCTAATCAGATTTAGGATTGCCGTAAAAAAAATCGAATTTTCAGAATAAATAAAAAAATAAATTAAATAAATCAGAAAATGAGAAAATAAGGTGGGAAAGAAGATATTTTTAATTTTTGGAAAGAGAGAAAAGATAAATCAAAAGGAAGATAGAAAAAGAAAAACAGAAAAAATCGAAGTGGGGGGAAATGGGAATGAAAAAGTTAAGGAAAAGAGAAGGAAATAGGTGGGGGAGAGAAAAAGATGAAGTGGGAGGTGGGGGGATGAGGTGGTGGTAGTTGGGGGAGAGGAGGGTTGGGGAAAGGTGGAGAGAGATCAAGAAGGAAGGAGAAAAGAAGGGAAGAAAAGGAGAGATGAAAAAAATAGAGTAAAAGAATGGGTGGTGGGAGAAAGGTGGGGTGCGGAAGATAAAAGGAGGAGAGAAAAGATGCAGTAGAAGGTGGGGGACAGAGAAGGGGTGAATAAGAGGAGAAAGGAGAGGTAGGGAGAGTGGGTTAGTAGAGGGAGAGGGGAGAAGGGAGTGATACCTGGCTCTTGGTGTCTCCAAGGGCACAAGGTACACCAAGACTAGGAGGGTCTTGGTGTTCGCTGCAACAGCCAGTTGGAGGAGAGAGGGGGCTGAGATCTTGATCAGCCCCGAGCAGCACTTCTGCATATGTGCAGATCTAGGGTCTGCTGTGTGAGCAGGCCCTCACCACTGTAGAGCAGCCCCCTTGAGCAGGGGGGTCTTCAGTTCACAGTAACTGCCACGTGGCACGGCAGGAGCATCCACGGCGGGGGGGGGGGGGGGGGGGTAAATAGCAGCTTGCTGTTACTGCCCTGCTGGCCGATGCTCGCTAGCGGGGGGGAGGGGGGTAAATAGCCAGCACGGCACCTCTTCAACACGAGTGTGTCGCACTATAGCACCATGTACACTATGTGGCGAGTGTGTTAGCAGGGTGCTTACGCACGTGCATGGCCCAACAGCCACCTGGGTTCAAACCCCAACAGCAGCAGTTGCATCCCGGATCTTGATAATATAAATCCGGGAGCGGGGCGGGGCGGGGCAGCGTGGGCGGGTGGCGCGTGCGCCGGCCTTGGCCTTGGCGCTTGCTCGCACGCACTCGTCGTGGCACCTCTCTTTTTCGCCGCGTGTCGCCTCCTGCAAGCGCCACTTTTCCCCTGCGTTTTCGCGCTGAAAAACGGCCGAAAAATCCGTAAAAAACCGCTGTCGGGTTTTGCTGTATTTTCAGCTGTGCGGGGTGGTGGGTGGGAGCGGGGACCGTTCCCACTCCAATACCAATGTAGCAGACCCACCAGGTGTGGTGCTCCGCTAGTGACAGAGATGGAGATGGAGGAAGAAGGGGGAGCGAGATGGCACAACGCAGCTCCCCACGCAAGACTCCAACGCACGTACTCCAAAATGTGCAAGTGAAGAATGAGACTGAAAACAGACAATGGCTGGGGTATACCCCAGCGGACTGAC